CTGGGACTTGGACCCTGGTGAGGTCTCCGGGAGCCTGGCCATCAGTTTCACGAGAGGTGGTGATTTCATTTGTGAAGGCTTTGATGGACCTGCTCCAGTTAATGAACACCAAGTCTTGAAAAAGTTTGCTGTAGGAAGGTGGCGGTTACGTAAAGCGGGATGATTCAGGAAGGGAGAACTTGCATCAACATGAAAGGCAGCTTAGATAAGGTATAGGATGATTCCTACTTCTTTTTTTTTTTTTTCTTCAAAATGGTGATCCTAGACGTCTTTCAGCAAAAAAATAATAATTGGGTAGGGAGGGAGGGTGGACTGAGAAACAGAGGGATTTTTTTGCATTCTAGTTTTGCATCGCTGAGTTTAAAATAATCTTTGTGTGGCACTTTAAAAATACTATGCCCCTAAGCTGGTTTATTTAAAAAACAAAAACCACACGCAACAGCCTTCCCCGCTCCGTGTGAATACGGTGAGGGCAGAATTTGGGGCTGTCATTTTGGTTCAGGGGTTATTGTGATGGGATGATGTCTGACGGCTTGTGATACCCCTCATCATCCCATCCAGCTCTTCCTGCCCACTCTGCCGTGTCTGCCAGGCTGCTGTGGGACTGCCAGGCGTTCTGTGCAGGGGTGGCTGTGGAGAGAGCTTTGTCCTGGTGTCCTTCTGCTTGCTGGGTGAGGTGGTGTGTGTGCAGACTGCAGGGAGCTGGAGGTGGTGGAGCTGAGAAGTTGCTCCGTGTGTGTCCTTCTGGGCTGCAGCTGGATCCGTGGGGAGGAGGGGGGTGTCACATGGAGGGGGTTGAGTTCACATGGACCGTTTTCAAGCAGTGGAGAATCCAAGGCTGATGGTTACGAGTAAAGTTATCACTGCTTTGTAGTGTTCCTGGCGAGATGGCAATGTGTTCTTAAATTGCTGGGACTTCGAACCCAACCTCCGTTGGCTTTAAGAGCCTGCTGGATTTTGTGGTTGTTCACAACTTGCTCTTTCTCACAACATCACCCTGTGTGTGCCTTGCCTTCTCCCTGTCTGTGGTAAGACAGCCAGACCCATCGGAGCCGCTACCTTTAGAAAAGCCAGTTGCTTTTTCCCTGAGGTGGAAAGAAATGCAATATTAGAGTGACAGAAATCTCATGAATCACGTTAAGGTCTGTCTTCTGGTCCTGTGTTGGGTGGCTTTTGGACAGCTGGTTCATGGTGACTTTTGGATACCTTTTGGGTGGATTTGCTGCAGACTACATTGTGAGAGGGTTTGCTGGGTTTGTTGTTTTGAGGTTTTTAAATCCGCGTGTCCATGGGTGACTTGCTGTCCTGGCTGAGAGTAAATTTTTCCGATACCCAAATGTCTGCTTGTTCCTCTTGGGGCAGAGCTTTCTGTCTTTATGCTGTTTAGGATGGAGTTATGTGGTGATCCGTGAAGTATGAACCGCGTCCTCCAGGATGGGAGGTGGTACCCTCATCCCAGTTCTGCTGCTGGCCTCGGTGGCCTCCTCGCTGGCCCAGGGCCTCGGGAAGGTTCGCTGGAGCTCAGGTGCATTCTCAGCCTGGGGTGAAGGGAGGAAGGAGGCCAGCACTTCTTGCTTTTTTCTTTGGAATAAGATCCTAGAGAGAGGGAGCCAGGACCGTTACAGATGATCATGTCATTCCATAAGGTGTCATCGGGGTAATGAAGGAACGGGGTGGGCGCTGGTCTGGGTGCGTCTCCCTGTGCTACTCAGATGGGATGTGACCTTCACGACCCGAGAGCTCTGTCACGGCAGTGTGCTGGTGGGGCTGTCACACCTGTGTCACATGGGGTCCATAGGGTTTAGAAGGGTCACAGCTTCAAATCTCACTTCTGCCACAAGCTTCTCTGAAGCCTTGGCCAACTGGAGGGGACCTGGGGGTCCCTGCCCATCCTCTGCCCGCAGGAGGAGAAGCTCCGCTCTCCTTTCTTTCGTCCCACCCAAGCTTCTGGGGATCCCTGGCTGTTTTCAGTTGATGTTCCTCATCAAACATTCAGCAGTTGTAGGTTTAATGTCTGCAACGCTTTAGGGCTAATTATATGATGATCTGCTGCCAGAACTCCTCGCGTTGGGCTCCTGCAGTAAGTTTTCTCCGTGCTGGATTCCACTCTGGCTTTGATTGTTTACCGGGTGTAATGAGCACCTCCTGCACCGCTGTGACCCCGGCACTTGTAGCACAAACACTCCATGAACATGAAGAGCGGGTTGAAATGTGCGGTTGGTGTGTGACATTCTGGGAGGAGTGAAGAAGATTGGAAAAGTAACAGTCAAGTTTGAGCCGAGTTCCAGATCCCAGCCTCTGCCTTCTCACGGCTTCACCTCCTTTGACGTGAGTAGTTACTTGTACTTTTTTTTGGTTGTTGGGTTGGTTTTTTTGAATTTCTAGGTTAGTGATTTGTTTTTTCAGCTTCATAGATGAAAGCTGCTGCATCTAATAAGGACACTTTAATTACTGAAATCGGTTATCTACTTTATTGTTCTTACTCTTGTCTCTACTTTTTTATAAACTATTAATATGAATATTGTAATAATAATGAAAAATGTTGCCAGCATACTTTTGTAACTGTAATTCAAGAGGTGAGGGGTCTGGAGAACAAGTCCTATGAGGTGAGGCTGAGGGAACCGGGCATGTTTAGTTTGGAGAAGAGGAGGCTGAGGGGAGACCTCATTGCCCCAACTACCTGAAAGGAGGCTGTAGAGAGGTGGGTGTTGGCCTCTTCTCCCAAAGGAATAATGACAGGACCAGAGGTAATGGTATGAAGCTGCGGCAGGGGAGATTCAGATTAGATATTAGGAAGAGTTACTTTACTGAGAGAGTGGTCAGGCACTGGAACAGCCTGCCCAGGGAGGTGGTGGAGTCACCTTCCCTGGAGGTATTTAAGAAACGTGTAGACGTGGCTCTTCAGGGCATGCTCTAGTGCCCAAGATTGTTGGTTTGTGGTGGGGTGTAGTGTGTGGGGCTGTGGGTGTGGGGTTTAGTTGGTGGGTGGTGTTTTTGGGTTTGTTGTTTTTGT